GTTTCTCAAGAGTGAAATACTCAAGGCACAATTGCAAACCGTGCCAACAAAGAGAAAAAATAGGACAAGTACAAAGAAGCCAGAATGGATGTCCAAAGAACTTCTAACTTTGCTAAGACACAAAAGAGACATGCACAAGAAGTGGAAAAAGGGAGAAATCACCAAAGAAGAATTCAAACAAATAGCCAACACCTGTAGGGAAAAGGTCCGCAAGGCTAAAGCACAAAACGAGTTCAGGCTTGCCAGGGACATTAAAAACAATAAAAAGGGCTTCTTTTCTTATGTCAGTAGAAAAAGAAAAAACAAGGAGGCGATAGGGCCTCTTCGAGGAGAAGATGGGGCAATGCTGACAGGGGATGATAGGGAAAAGGCAGAACTACTTAATGCCTTCTTTGCCTCGGTCTTCTCACAAAAAGAAAGTCATCGTCAACCTCAGCAAGATGGAGTGGCTGAGGGATTAGAGGACATCCAACCCCAAATTGGGAAACAAGTCTCCCAGGAACCCCTGGCCGCTCTAAATGAGTTCAAGTCCCCTTTCAGGGCCAGATCAAATACACCAAAGAGTATGGAAGGAACTAGCGGAAGTCATCTCGGAACCATTGGCAACCATCTTTGAGAGTTCTTGGAGAATGGGAGAAGTTCCAGCAGACTGGAGGAGGGCCAATGTGGTCCCAATCTTCAAGAAGGGAAAAAAGGAGGACCCAAACAATGACCAATGTCCGGTCAGCCTCACGTCGATACCTGGCAAGATTCTGTAAAAGATGGTTAAGGAAGCGGTCTGCAAACACTTAGAAACCAATGCGGTCATCGCTCATAGTCAACATGGATTTATCAAAAACAAGGCATGCCAGACTCATCTGATCTCTTTTTTGGATAGAGTTACAAGCTGGGTAGATGCGGGGAATGATGCCATGGATGGAGCGTGTCTGGATTTCAGGAAGGCCTTCTTCGACAAGGTCCCCCATGACCTTCTGGCAAGGAAACTAGTCCAAGGTGGGCGAGGCAAAACTACGGTGAGGTGGATCTGGAATTGGTTAAGCGGACGAACCCAGAGGATGATTCTCCCCAAGGCTTCCTCCTCTTCATCCTGGAAAGAAGGGACGAGCGGAAGGCCATCCGCAGGGTTCCGTCCTGGGCCCGGTCCTGCTCAGGATCTTCATCAATGACTTAGATGAAGGGCGAGAAGGCAGGATCATCAAGTTTGCAGATGACACCAAATTGGGAGGGAGAGCCAAGACTCCAGAGGACAGGAGCAGGATTCAAAACGATCTTGACAGATTAGAGAGATGATGGGCCAAAACTAACAAAAGGAAGTTCAAGAGGGACAAATGCAAGAGACTCCACTTAGGCAGGAAAAACGAAATGCGAAGAGACAGAATGGGGGATAATGAGGCCTGGCTCGAGAGCGGGACATGTGAAAAAGATCTTGGAGTCCTCGTGGACAACAAGTTAAGCATGAGCCAGGAATGTGATGTGGCGGCAAAAAAAGCCAATGGGATGTTGGCCTGCATCAAGAGGAGCATAGTGTTTAGATCCAGGGAAGTCCTGCTCCCCATGCTCTATTCCACTTTGGTTAGACCACACCTGGAATATTGTGTCCAATTCTGGGCACCACAATTGGAGAGAGATATTGACAAGCTGGAATGTGTCCAGAGGAGGGCGACTGGGTTTAAGCAGCAAAGGGGGCTGGTACTGTGTGGGTTTCTGCTGGACTGCACTGTTTTGATATTTGCATTAGGTGCCGTATTGCCCCCGTTGCTTTGGCTCCTTGTGACTTCCATTGGATCGGGACCTGACTTTGCAGCTATTTGTTTCCTTTCGGACTGGACTGGACTGGATTTTAACTATCAGCGTTACTCTCCCTTCCACGTCTGTGGCTGTGTTTCTGGAGTTAGCGTTATCATCCTCCCTGCATTCCAGCCTCGGAGTTCAGCGTGGCGTTTCCTACAGTGTTTGAGGCTCGGGTTACATTTTGCAACCCTTTAAAGACTGCTGCTCATTAGAGTGGCTGTGAACATCATTCTACAGTTTGTTTCACCTCTGTTATTTGTCTGAGCAAGTTAGAGCTGAATTAAGCATTTTGTGTTTAACTCGGATTATATCTCTGGATAATCCAGGTTATATTTCGGTTGGGGTTTTGTGGGTTCTTTTGCCTTTTTTGAACTATTTCACACTGAAGACTTAAGTGTTTTTTGCCCTGTGGTCTTGTTTTGGGCTGTTTTGTGTTTGTTTGAGCAATAAATTATACTTCTTTAATTGGCTGGCGTCTGACCTTGACAGGTAAGATAAGGTTAAGAGTATCACTGAGAGTAAGGGCCAGAGGTGGAATATGGGTAAGAGGGGAATACCAAGAATATGGGTAAGATAAGGTTAAGAATATCATTAAGAGTAAGGGTCAGCAGTGTCAGATGGGTTAGATAAGGTTAAGAATATCACTGAGAGTAAGGGCAAGACGTGGAATATGGGTAAGAGGGTGCAGTGAAATTGCTACTCTATGTTAAAGTTTTGGTGTATAGCTCTATGTTTACATATGGCAGATAGGGGAAGAATAGGCACAGACAGGGTAGCAACAGCAGAGATAGGATTAATTTGCATATGTGAAGCCGATTGGTCATATGCAGATTAGTGTAGGCCCAGGATTTGAAAAGGCTGCTAGGCCAAAATGACAGTTGGGGAGAGCAGAGCTGAACATTCCAAAGGGGCGGAGCCAAGGTTCTGAAAGAGGCAGTTAGAGTGAGGGAGTTTGAAAATGACAGTTAGGAATCTGTGTGTGAAGAGGAGAGTTGGTTTTTGAGTGCCTGATAGAAATAAGCAGTTATGAAGATGTGTTAAAGACTTCTGATATAGAGAAGCAGTTAGTTAAATAGAGCTCGAGTTTTAAGGAACATAAAGAAGGCTAGTGTTGCCTTAGTTCAGAATATAATTCAGCCAAGAGTGTGTAAAGCAAGTAACATGTTTGTGAATGTGAAACATTGATAATTTATTCAGAAAAGTTAACCAAGTAAATGATACTGACTGTAAGCCTCAAAATTGCAACAAAACACAAATGTAACCACAAGTGTTGGAGCCAGAAGTTATAAATAAACTGTGTTACTTTGTTATACACAAGAGTGTTTCATTGCCTGCGATATAAAGTACAAAGGTTTAACAGCACACAGAAAGTCCCTGCCAATATAAAAGAAGAAACTGAATTAAAGTGGAAATAGTCTCTCTCCCTCGCCTCAGAGGGGAATACCAAGAATATGGGTAAGATAAGGTTAAGAATATAATTGAGGGTCAGCCATGGAATTTGGATAAGAAGGAAACGCTAAGAATATGGGTAAGAATAAGGTTAAGAATATCATTGAGAGTAAGGGTCAGCCGTGGAATTCAGGGAAGAGGGGAATGTGAAGAACATGGGTAAGAATAAGGTTAAGGGTTGTCTAGGAGTTGAAAGGCTGCAGGCTGAAAAGGTTTTGCATGGTGCCGGATCCTCTCGCCAGGCCTCCAAGGAAGGTAATTCTTCGTCTATAGCTCAACTCGCCAGGAAGAAAACAAAGGGAAGCATTTGGGCTTGCGTCTAGGACCGGCTCAAGTGGCAGAGTAACGACCGCTAGTGCTTTTGGCAAATTTGGATTTTTTTTTCTACTGAATTGTGCTCAGGGAACCCTCTTTACTGCAAAAACATTGCTGCTGGTGTTTTGGACTTTGGCTCCCAGAATTCCTAGCTGTTGAATAAGCTAGAAAGAGGCCTTCTGGGAATTGGAGGGCTGCAGGCTGAAGAGGTTTTGCATTGTGCCAGATATCCTTGCCAGGCCTCCGAGGAAGGCAAGACCTCATCTTTAGCTCAACTCACCAGTGAGAAAACGAAGGGAAGCATTTGGGTTTGCATCTAAGACCAGCTCAAGCGGCAGAGTAATGACCGTTAGTAGGATTGGTTGATCGTGTTCGTTAGTTTCTAAACTCGTTATGAATTCGTATTTAAATTAGCTTTCGATCCAATATCGAGCCATGCAGGAATAGTGTGAGGAGTAATTAAGAATCGAAACAATTTTTCCAATTTTCGTAATTATTTTCGTATGTATTATTATATTATATTATTATATTATAATTGTATATATTATATTATATATAATATATATTATATGTATATTATATTATATTATTATAATTGTATAATAAAGCACCCCTGACAGATGGCCATCCATTCTTAATAAAATAATGCGCCCCCTGCGCAGATGCGCTTTGTTTACCATCCATTTATGTGTGTGTGTTATAATACATATATAATATATATACATATAATATATAATATTATAATAAATTAATATAATATAATATAATATTTATATATTATATATATATAATATAAATATAATAATAAATAATATTTATATTATAATATATATTGTAATCCCTCACGATAAGAGACAGACGTGCCCCCCTCCCCCCCCCTCCTGAGCTCGAGTTGCTTTATATATATTATATATATTATATTATATACTATAATATATAATAATAATATAATATAATATTAAAACTATTATTATATATATATTATTATTATATTATTATATATATTATATTATATATTATATTATATGTTATAATTTTATATTATTATATTATATTAATATAATTGTATATTAAAGCACCCCTGACAGATGGCCATCCATTCTTAATAATAATAATAATAATATAATATAATATAGAATAATAATAATAGGAAGACGTTTAGCTGGGTTAAGACAAGCCGTTTTAAAGCGTTTTAAAGACTGGATTCCTGTAAGTGCGGACTCCGTTCTGACTTCGGATTGTTTTTGGATGGACATCTCATTCTGACTTAATCTTCTGCTTTTGGACGTGCTATGGGCTTGGGACAGTTTTTTGATAATATAATATATCATATCATATCATATCATATCATATATATAGTTGTTGTTTGTTTGATCACACCAACAGTCAACCACAGAGGGAGAGGGAAGCTTCGGAAGTTCCTCCCGTCCCGTTTGGAGGTTTTTTTTGCGTATTGCGCAATCGTGTCCGGCGTTAACGAATCGATTCGTATATTTACGAAATTTCGTAAATATCGAAATTTTGAAATTTCGGAAATCCTCTCAGATTAGAAATGCGGGCACCCCATAGATACGAAACGAGTTTAGAACCAATTTTTTTCTTGATCAACCAAGCCTAACCGCTAGTGCTTTTGGCAAATTCAGATTTTTTAAACAGCCCTTCCTTGTTGGAGGCACGGCTTTCCCTGAGTAGGACGTTGTTCTTTCCCCCGGGATCAGGGGGCTGCTCCTGCTTAGTCCGGGGAGCCGCTTTGTCCGGTCAGCCGGGCCAGCTTGTCCGTTTCGAACTCAGTCGCGATCCTCAAAGCGATGCCCCCGAGGGAGACCGACTGCATGTTGCAAAGGATGGAGACCACCACGCCGCGGGGCGGCTTCAGCGGGAGACCCTCCTTCGCCTCGGGGTGCTCTTCCTCAGGAAGAATGAGCAGGATGCTACTGGCGCCCACGGCTCCCCCCGTGTGGAAGGCGTGGTGCCGCGAGCGTCGGCAGAACCCGCACTCCTGCCGCCCCTCGGACACGAACCAGGCCAGGCCATAGCGGCCCTCCTTGGGGCAGGTGGACTCCGTGCAGGGGGTCGACCACAGCATGGCCACCGTGTCAGGCTTCAGGTAGCCGGGCAGCTGCCCCGCGGGGAGGCTCTTCGGGATGGAGCCCAGCTGGTAGCTGTACAGCATGGCGTTGCCAAACTTGAGGAGGTCGCCCACTGTGGACACGAAGCCGCCCCCGGCCCACTTGTAGGAGTTGTCCACAAAGGGCGCGTTGACCAGGCGGCCCTTCTTGTTGTGGGTGTAGTACCTGCAACGGAGACACAACTAGAATTCAGCCACTTTGTAAAAGTCCAACAAGAATAGGCCTGGGCCAACTTGGGCTAAGCTGTTAGGAATTGTGGGAGTTGAAGTACAAAACACCTGGAGGGAGGGCCCAAGTTGGCTCGTGCCTGAACAACAACAACAACAACAATAATGAAAATCCCTTTTTAACTTCTCCCAGGCTGACTGTAATCTAAGCCTTACTGATGTGGGCTCCGCTACCGGGTCGAACTGTTGCATCCCAGTTCAAGAAACAAGACCATAAGATTAAATCCACCACTCTGGACTGTAGGAAAAGCAATCCTTGTTTATTGATGAAAAATTGGTTACAAAAGAAAGGTAAATGCAGAGTAAAAAAAGCCACAGAAAAACACAGTAGTCAATAGGATCTCTGAACTTGAGCAAAACTTCAAAAGCCACAAAACAATAACCAGGAGTCTGTTAGCCTTTTACTAACCATGAACTTGGAAACTACAAGCCTCTGGGATTACTGGCCATGGAACACAGGAATTCTGCCAAGACCAGCCACAGTCCCGAATGTTGCTTGACCTAAAGAAGCACCCGGCAGGGATGCTCTTAAACCAAAGAAGCTATTCTTAGAAACGCCCCTTGACTTTTCTGTTTGGGCCTCTTTCTGCTGAAGGCGCTGTGACCTTCGTACAGACTGGGAAACAAATCTATCTCTCACTATCTGTTCTCTTCGGACCTCATTATCAAGCCCAGGTGGGGAGATATCACGGCTAACTTCCAAAACATTCTCTTCTAACTGCTGGGTTTCGTTTTCATTCCCACTGACCTCTGCATCAACAACAGATTCCACACTGTCATAGTCAGGGAGAGCTTGCTCAGTTTGAAAAACTATCAGAGAATCCTGTTCACACAGATCAGGATCAGACTGAACCCCAACACGAACTGCGTCTCGAGCACCGAGTGGACCTACCAGTAAGGCCAGTAGATTCTCCAGCTGGAGTTCTTTGGTCTTCCAAACTGTTTACCCTCCGAAATTCCTCAAAGCTTTAGGGCTGTTTCCCTGGAAATCTTTGGATGCTCTTAAGACTGTTCCCCCGGAAAGTCTTAAGGGTTGAAGCTTTTGTACAGGAGAAGCTTGTACACGTCCTCTAAATTAGCTTTCCTTACTGAGACTAACTAAAAATGGCTCCCTTCCCTTCCCAATTGCCCTGAGCAAGGGGCGGAACCAAAACTTAACGATGATGGACAGGTGACTTGCCCTATGACTGCAACCAAAGGAATCCCTGAAACCTAGGACTGCAAGCAAACATTTAATGCAAAGCAAATAAAGTTGGAGCTCCTGGTACAGCCGTACCAGCACACGAACACTTTTGTTTTTAAAGAAGGAATCCTAAGCATGTAGCAACTATAATGCACACTTTTTGAAAGCCAAATGACAAAAAGCGCACTTTTTGTCGCTGCGCATGACATTTGGCAGCAAATCCTTTTTTTGGTTTCCGGGTTTTGAAAATGAAGTTGCGCCTTAGATCTGATGGAGCATGAGACAGGAGTCAAGGCGAGAGTATCTTTACCTCCCTCTGTTGTAGATGAGCGGCTCGTTCTCGTCCAGCCCCGTTGCCGACATGTCCAGGTCTCGGAAGATTTGCAGCATGTAGTCCGTGAACCTCTGTCCCGAGGCACGCTCCACCACGGCGCTCAGGAGGGTGAATCCGTGCGTCGAATACAAGAACTGGCTGCCTTGAAGGAAGGGAGAAAGAAGGCGGACAGAGTCTGACACGCTGCGACTGAAACCTCAGAGATAGAATCAAAGAGTTGGAAGAGACCTCCTGGGCCATCCAGTCTGTGACGATGTGTAAGTTTTATTTCTTTGGTTATGTGTAGTTTGGACAGTGGTTTAGGGATGGTAAGTATGGGAGATTATGTTTTGTGGGAGATGGTGGCTTGGCGTTAGCTGAGTTGCCATAGCAACAGGGGCGGAGCCAACTGCCTCTTCAGGAGGCAGCTGTTTTAAAAAGTCAGTCAGTACGCCAGTGAGCTACTGAGAGGACTGAGTCTCTGGGTGGAGATTCAGGGAATGTGTCTGTAGCCGGTGTGCTATAGGAAAGACTGAATCTCAGGGTGGGGATTCAGGGAATCAATTGGTGACCAAAGTAGTTGCAGAGAAGGACCCGGTAGTGAGAGAGCTACAGGGGGTTGTTGATTCTAAATTAAGAATCAAGGTTTGGCTGGGTTTAAGCCTGCTGTGCCTGCTGTGAAACGTTTTGAAGTCTGTGCCTGAGATTACTCATGAAACCTTTCCAATGTAACCATCAAGATTTGTGCCTCTTTTGAAGAAACAGTTAAACATGTTATACTCCTGTTAAAATAAACTTGTTACTGTTTTCCTCAAGCCTTGCCTGATACAGTTTCTCCTAAGTTGAACAGCCTGCAATAGTAAAGTCAAGCCAGGAAAGTAAACGCTACGCTATCAAATAAATAAAGCCTTCTGTAATTAACAGTCCCTTTATAAAATAGCTCCTAGGTGGATATTGATCGTTGCCTGGCTTCCCTCATAGATTAGGTGGCAGTGGGTGTTTTACCACTCGCACCTTCACATTTGGTGGCATTCGGTGGCATTAAAACGGTCTCCTTCACACAGTCCAACCCCATTCTGCCAAGAAGCAGGTATGCATTCAAATCACCCCCGACAGATGGCCATCCAGCCTCTGTTTAAAGAAGGAGCCTCCACCACACTCCATGGCAGAGAGTTCCACTGCTGAACGGCTCTCACAGTCAGGAAGTTCTTCCTCATGTTCATGTGGAATCTCCTCTCTTGTAGTTTGAAGCCATTGTTCCATTGCGTCCTAGTCTCCAGGGAAGCAGAAAACAAGCTTGCTCCCTCCTCCTCCCTGTAGCTTCCTCTCACATATTTATACATGGCCTTATCATATCTCCTCTCAGCCTTCTCTTCTTCAGGCTAAACATGCCCAGCTCCTTAAGCCGTTCCTCATAGGGCTTGTTCTCCAGACCCTTGATCTTCACCCTCCTCCCTGTGGCTTCCTCTCACATATTTATACATGGCCCTTATCATATCTCCTCTCAGCCTTCTCTTCTTCAGGCTAAACATGCCCAGCTCCTTAAGCCGCTCCTCATAGGGCTTGTTCTCCAGACCCTTGATCATTTTAGTCGCCCTCTTTCTCTGGACACATTCCAGCTTAGAGTCAATATCTCTCTTCAATTGTGGTGCCCAGAATTGGACACAATATTCCAGGTGTGGTCTAACCAATCACTGGGTTGTGAGTTTTCTGAGCTATATGGTTTTGGTTTTTATTTAATTATTGTTTTGTTTTTTTCGTGTCAGGAGCGACCTGAGAAACTGCAAGTCGGTTCTGGTGTGAGAGAATTGGCCGCCTTCAAGGACGTTGCCCAGGGGATGCCCGGATGATCCTTATCATCCTTGTGGGAGGCTTCTCTCATGTCCCCGCATGAGGAGCTGGAGCTGATAGAGGGTGCTCATCCACCTCTCCCTGGATTCGAACCTGCGACCTGTCGGTCTTCAGTCCTTAACCCACTGCGCCACCGGGGGCTCCTAGCTGTATGATCATGTTCCAGAAGCTTTCTCTCCTGACGTTTTGCCTGCATTAAATGCTAGGTGGCCAATTGAAACATTCATACCTAGCTCCAACAGACAAGAGTTCTTTCTCCCACCCTGGACATTCCACAGATATATAAACTAGGCTTGGTTGATCAAGAAAAAATGTGGTTCTAAACTCATTTCGTATCTCAGGGGTGCCCGCGTTTCTAATCTGAGAGGATTTCCGAAATTTCAAATTTCAAAATTTCAATATTTACGAAATTTCGTAAATATACAAATCGATTTGTTAATGGCAGACACGATTGCGCAATACGCGAAAAAACCCTTCAAACGGGACGGGGGAACTTCTGAAGCTTCCCTCTCCCTCTGTGGTTGACTGTTGGTGTGATACAACTAACAACAACTATATATATTATATTATGTTATCAAAAAACTGTCCCAAGCCCAGAGCACGTCCAAAAGCAGAAGATTAAGTCAGAATGAGATGTCCATCCAAAAACAATCCCAAGTCAGAACGGAGTCCGCACTTACAGGAATCCAGTCTTTAAAACGCTTTAAAATGGCTTGTCTTAACCCAGCTAAACGTCTTCCTGGCCCAGCAGCTTACAACTATTATTATTATTCTATATTATTATTATTATTATTATTATTATTATTATTATTAAGAATAGATGGCCATCTGTCAGGGGTGCTTTAATATACAATTATATTAATACAATATAATAACATACAATTATAACATATAATATAATTATAATATAATATAATAATATACAATTATAATATAATATAATAATACATATGAAAATAATTACGAAAATTGGGAAAATTGTTTCGATTCTTAATTACTCCTCACACTATTCCTGCATGGCTCAATATTGGATCGAAAGCTAATTTAAATACGAATTCATAACGAGTTTAGAAACTAACGAACACAATCAACCAAGCCTAATATAAACCCTATTTTCCTAGTTTCCAATAGAAGTCACGGCCTCTGAGAATGCCTGCCATAGATGCAGGCGAAACGTCAGGAGAGAATGTTCCTGGAACTTGGCCAGACAACGATTCAGAGAGAGGACTGCTTTTTGCCTGCTGAGCTCAAAATTCCTTTGCAGCCACACAACACTTCACCTTTCCACTTGCTGTAGGCTAACTGCTCAGCTAAGTATCCTGTTTGTATTTTTGGATGCTCTGCTGTTTTGGGAGAATTTCCAAACACTTTCCACTCTCTCTGGCCTTTTCTCGTTAACCCATTATATCTTTGTGACATTCACTTTAGACATTTCCTGGCCACAATGCAGCGATTTCCTGAGCACCACAATTCAAGAGAGATATTGACTCTAAGTTGGAATGTGTCCAG